CGGAATGACAGCATTTCAAAGGCCATGAATTTTGAAATGCTGGCATTCAGGGCCAGGGTGTCAGGATTACAGAATGATCCAGCACGTAGAATTGTGTAACACAGAGGATTGATAGGTAACGTATACTGGACCTTGGAATGGCCGGACTAACGTACCAAAGAATAGTCAGGAATAGCCAAGGTCAAGGGATACAGAGACACAACGATAAGGAAAAGTCAAATAACCAGAATAACCAGAATCAATATCGCGCTCTCGGACAACCACAAGGGAAACCACGACAGGGCACTGAGGATGAGAACTGGTCCTAAATACCCCTCCTCTAGATCTGATAGGCTGTAACCGGCCTTTGACTCCAAAGGCAGTTACCAGGTTTCCATTTGCATAATTGCTGCTCAGCATTAACCCTTCTTTGGATTTGGTTGCTGCTCGGCACAACTTTTCCTGTGTGGACAGTAAATGCCATTAACCACATTTTTATAAGCAGATGAATACGTGACACAGGGATCGCGGGTGGCTAGGGGGGTACTTCCTCTTTATCTCCAGTGTTTGGGAGATGGACAGCTGAACGCTTCCATGGGACAGTGTGGAGATGCTGGACAATTGTGTACCTGGCCAATGCTGGTGCAGGAACCCACCACCCTCCGAGCCACTGGCCTGATAACCATGGAAATGACCCCTCTTCCTCCTCCTCTTCCTCCTGTGCCACATCCTCTTCCACCATCGCCCGAAGCATTTTTTCAAGGAGACCTAGAAGCGGGATAGTAAGGCTGAGAACGGCGTCATTGGTACTGGCCATGTTGGTGGAGTACTCAAAACAGCGCAACATGGCACACAGGTCTCACATGGAGGCCCACTCATTGGTGGTGAAGTGGTGCTGTTCCGCAGAGCGACCGACCCGTGCGTGCTGCAGCTGAAACTCCACTATCGCCTGCTGCTGCTTGCACAGTCTCTCCAGCATGTGCAAGGTGGAGTTCCACCTTGTGGGCACGTCGCAAATGAGGTGGTGAGCGGGAAGGCCTAAGTTACGCTGCAGCGCAGACCGGCGAGCAGCAGCAGGATGAGAACACCGAAAGCGCGCACAGACGGCACGCACTTTCTGCAGCAGCTCTGATATATATGGGTAGTTTTTCAGGAATTTCTGAACCACCAAATTCAGCACATGCGGCAGGCAAGGGATGTGCGTCAAACCAGCTAGGCCCAGAGATGCTATGAGATTTCGCCCATTATTGCACACCACCAGGCCGGGCTTGAGGCTCAGTTGCAACAACCACTCATCGGTCTGTTTTTCCATGCCCGTCCACAGCTCCTGCGCGGTGTGGGTTTTTTCCCCCCAAACATATGAGTTTTAAAACAGCCTGCTGTCGTTTCTCCTTGGCTGTGCTGAAGTTGGTGGTGAAGGTGTTATGCTGACCGGATGAGGAGGTGGTAGAGGAGGAGGAAGTTGAGTAGGAGGAGGAGGCAACAGGAGGCAAAGCTGTGTTCATATGAGTTTTAAAACAGCCTGCTGTCATTTCCCCTTGGCTGTGCTGAAGTTGGTGGTGAAGGTGTTATGCTGACCAGATGAGGAGGTGGGAGAGGAGGAGGAGGAAACAGGAGGCAAAGCTGTGTATCCAAATAAAGATGGTCAAATGTTGTATCCTGGAACTGTGTCCCATCTGGTTACTGGGGAAATGGGTCTGACCTATTCTAATCAAAGGAGATAACCATTGGTTACCCAGGTCCCGCTTCAATTAGTGGCAAGCGGCGGGATCCCATGTCCCTGCCAACAGACCCATGGACTACAGTGTTCTAAAGCGACCAACACTGCAGGACTTGGAGTGTGGAGACAGAAGAATAACACCTGGTGGGCATAACAAGGCCAAATTGACTGCTGCGTTCATGGAGGACGACCAGGCACGCAGTGAGGCAACAAACCCCAGCCAGGGGCCGGAGATGAGGAGGAAGTGCACAAGGAGGTGGAATGGCGCCTGGCATATTACCGAGAGCCACCCTTTAGAGGAGATTGTCAGCAGGACCTTTTTGGAGGTGCAAGCCTATGTCCTTGCCAATAGACAGACCCTGGCCCACAAGCTACCATACAATGCCTTCAAAGATTTCAAGGAAGCAGAAGAAGGCATCGATGACTTTTTACAAGACTTTGAGCGCCAGTGCCTACGCCAAGACGTGGACCCCAGCGACTTGCCAGCAAACTAGTGGGGAAGGCAGCGGATATTTACCGGGCTGAGCAGATCAGAGACTATCCCTTTATTACACAAATCCTCCTGCCCCGGTATGCGGTCACCCCCGAGCAATACCGCCGAAAGTTTAGGGAGACCAGGAAAGGGGTGAAGGACTCCCATGCGGAGTGGGCATGCCGCATCACAAGGGCCACCCAGAACTGGCATAACTCCCATCAAGCCAAGTTCCCGGAGATGACCCGGCTCCCCAACAACACGGCTGGTGAGAGACCGCCAGCCCCAGACCCAAGAAGTATTGGTAAGAACTGCTGAAGCTAGCTCACGATATCCCCCTGGCAGGGCATTTGGGCAGGAGTCGGACAGAGTCTCGGCTCACCCACAGCTTCTACTGGCCAGGCATCTCTCAGGATCTGAGGCGGTACTGCCAGAAGTCTGCCAGAGAGTGGGGAAGAGAAGGGACCAACACAGGGCCCCCCTCCGTTCCCTAAATATTAGTGAAGATCCGTTCGGCAGATTAGCTGTCGACATTATAGTTGCACAGGCACTTTGGTGACTCTACAGAACCTCGAGCAAATCGCACGTCCCCGAGACGGCGACTTTGCATTCGGATGTATGCCCTATCAACTTTCGATGCCACTTTCTGCGCCTACCATTGTGACCACGGGTAACGGGGAATCAGGGTTCGATTCCGGAGAGGGAGCCTGAGAAACGGCTGCCACATCCAAGGAAGGCAGCAGGCGCGCAAATTACCCACTCCTGACGCGGGGAGGTAGTGACGACAAATAACAATACAGGACTCTTTAGAGGCCCTGTAATTGTAATGAGTCCACTTGAAATCCTTTAACTATGATCAATTGGAGGGCAAGTCTGGTGCAGAGCGACTGACCCGTGCTGCAGCTCAAACTCCACTATCGCCTGCTGCTGCTCGCACAATCTCTCCAGCATGTGCAAGGTGGAGTTCCACCTTGTGGGCATGTCGCATATGAGGCAGTGAGCAGGAAGGCCAAAGTTACGCTGCAGCGCAAACAGGCGAGCAGCAGCAGGGTGAGAACGCTGAAAGCGCGCACAGCCGTTACAGTGAATGTCACACAGGGGCGGGCTGGGCCGGGGGGCAGGGAGGCAATTGCCCCCCAGGCCGCCCTAAATTCTTGTAGGACCGGCCGCGGCGGGCCGGCCCTTTAAATACTGCAGCCGCCTGAGCGAGCGCTCTTTTAAGAGCCTCAGGCAGCTGCAGCTTCTCCCCTGCCCTGTAGCGTGGCCGAGCTGCACTCCGGTCTGCGGTGGCCGGCCGGAGTGATAGGAAGGTGCACACTGAGTGTGCACTTCCTGTCAGTCCGGCCGGTTACAGGAAACAGAAACTCCGCGCGGAACAGGAGTTTCTGTTTCCTGCCA